TTTCTATGCAACCAATGGATCATGAAGAGTGATTCACTGGATTCCCCAGTCTACTTATTCAGAATCAACATTTTCTATCAGGAATGGTGGTTAGATTGGATTAATACTACGATAGGTGTTCATCTGCCACCACCTCATCCATGGGGTGCATATCTCAATGGTCAGGAATTCCAGGGCCTATGGATGAATGACAAGGCTTCCCATCACAATGTTTTAGAACTTCTTGCTGTTCCAAGGGCAATGTCTCATTTTCTGGACTTATTCAGGGGAAAATCAACAGGCTTCACTTAGAAAATTCCACAATGGGGTCTTACATTTCCTGTCAAAGGGCACTTGGTCCATTTCTCTGTTTTCAAACCTTGAATTTTTCTTTATTGGGCCTACTCTTATCATATCATCCTACTAGCTTGCACACCCACAATCTATGCACACACCTTCTGTATGGATAATGCCCTCACTGGCCCCTCTACCTTATCATTGTGGGATTTTAGCTGAAGTGGGAGAGGAAATTTGATGTTTGTTAAATATTTACTATACATCCTGTCTATTTGATACTCTCTATCAATCACTACCTGTTTTAAGTACATTACTTCTAACATCAAATCCTTATCATATGAAGAAACATTAATAGCCCTATAAACAAAAGATGAAAATGAGGACATTTTTTGTTTCCATGGGTGACACGATCTCATATGCGGATGTATAGTAAATATTGTAACAAACTTCAAATTTCTAGATGTACTAAATTGCAGATAACAAAAAAGGGAGGTAAAGAAAGAATATGTTTGCCCTATGTTTCACCATGGTCAATAAACATAGATAACGTGTTTAGGCAAAATATGAATTGCCAAGTAACATTTACTTCTCAATTAAAATTAAGTTATATAATTAATGGTTTTAAAGATAAAATTAAATTAAGGGTTAAATGTGGTATATATATATATATATAAAATTTCATAGACTTGTTGTCTAAGTTATATTGGACAGACAAGTAGAAACTTAAAATTTATAATAGAAGAACATCAAAATGCAATGGATTAATCAAGAATATGTGAATTGGCTTTGGTGGAACATGGGAAATTTTACATATGTTAGGGACTGGGATAATGTGAAAATAATCTAAACATGTAATGGAAAAAAGATGAACTAAACATAAGAGAATCCTTAGAAATTGTTAAAAACAAATTGAATATAAATAGAGATTTAAGCCTAGGAGCCATGGAAGTAAACTTTAGGAAATCGTTATTGTAAATGGTACCTCATTAAATAGGTTATTAGAAACTTCGTGGTTTAACTATTTCCACCGAAACATGTACAGTTTTTAAAGTTTTTTTAACTTGTATCTTTAAACTTTACAAATAAATTATTGTGCAAGCAAAAAATGTTCATGTCTTATGTGATTAATTTTATTTAAAATGTTCAATCTTCTTTATTTACAGGGTCATAAACTAGAAAATTACACTTACTACACCCACCTGTCACATCCTCTTTGACAAATTGCCTATAATTCTCTCAGACTATTTCTATCAACTTTTTTATAATCAATAGAAAGGCAAAATTTTTATCTATCAAATGATGTACAATTAATACTACATTGTTTCCCTTACAGAGTATTGTTGATTCTGTCTTCAGTTAGAAAGCCAGTTAAATTATAATAATCATAAGATATTGTTTGTTTTGTACATATTATTATTCTGTGTTCTTAGGTACATTATTTAACTCTCTCCACATGAGTCACTGGTCAAAGGCCATATCATCATGTTTGTTGACTCACATTCAAAATTTTATTGAACCCCTATTTTATGAATTTATGTCAATAAGTTTTGTATCATATTGTATGTTATAATTCAAATATTAGTGTTATACATTATATAATTTCTTAATCTAAAAGAATATTAAAAAATCACACCTAAACATCCGTTTTTGTGTGTCGTGGTTATTTGAATGCAGCACTGGTTCAGATTTGGTTTTTGTGATATCCAAATACAAAGTCTGTAGTGTCTTACGACTAAGGAACTCAAATTACAGATGTTGACAAGCTAGAATATAAAATAAGAACCTCCTATCTTTTCTATTTGCTGAGATATTACTCATGTACTGAATAAAACACAGTTGCCCCACCCACCTCTTTCCATTTTTAAGAACACTTCCTCATACACAATTACTTCTGTCTATGACATGTGAATAACCAGTTGAAAGTTCAGAATGTCCCCTTCAGCCATTTTCAAGTATTATGTCAACAATTTGTTCTTTCGATACAAAACTTCAAGTTTATAAGTTGAGTCTTTAGTCTGCTAAAAATTTCATATTTTTTTAGATCCAAATACAGCTTAGTTACTAAGCTTGGTAAGTTATAGTGGAATTCTGTGGTATCGATATAGTAATTTATGATTTTTTTGTTATTTCAAATGTATATATAAAACCTAAAAAAAGTATTTTGTTTCACATCCTCCATGTGTGAAATTTTATAAGGCTTAGCAACCTATGGCAAGCAGCAAACGAGTACAAAGGTTGTAACTACAAGATATAATTGTTTGCTATACTTATTTATTTACTGTTCTATGTTTTAAGAAAAAATAGTTTAAGAACTTGTTTATAAATAGTAATAATGTATATACATATATAATGTATTATAACTGAAATGTGACTGTATTTTACAAAATACTAGTCTACTAAAACATAGCCAAGACAGATCACTTTGTAAAAACTAACTGTCAGTTTTATGTTATTGGATACAGTAACATGAGAGCACATGGACCGCATCATCGAAACTTCTTGGATGTCAGCCAGGCATGTCTGAAAGGTCAATATAATAAAAAAAAAAATAAAAATATATGTCAATATATAATGTTATGACGTTTAAGCTATTTAGGCTAAACATTTGTGTTTTCAAGTTGTAATTTGTAGTCATTCTAGAACCAAAAAAGCACAATTTATTTTTATTTTCTAATTTTTTTATGGTGGTTATGAGATCGGTCAAATCTACCGAACCTGTACAGAGATTCGATAGTGAAAATATCTTAAAAAATGTTTGATAATTATCTAGACGTTATAAACATTATGTATGTGAAATTAGAAAATTTTCTGACACATAAAAGTATTTTTATTCTTAAAACCAAAATTACTTTGCATGTTCTATTGGCAAAATGCTAAAAGAAAAAGTCATGAGAAAAACATTACTTAAAAAAACCTTATAATTTAATCTGACATTTTGCATGTGAAAGCATTGTCATGTTTACTGATAATCTGCTAAATTTTGTGAACATACGCTTACTAATTTAAATGTTGTAGCATGAAAACTATAACAAGCACAAAATGGTTACGAGATCGGTCCCAGGGACCGAGCTGTGCTGTAAGAATTAAGTAGATATAAATTATTTATTGTACAAGTACCATAGTTATAAGACAAGGAGGCTTAAATATCATCAGTAACTGACAGAAAAAAATAAGGTGAAACATAAGTACCATTTTTCATGTATATTAATTATTTATTATTATAAAAGTAACTAAATTCTAAATTTAATAAAATCAATGTAGAGCTAGATATTTAAATGCTGGATCAAAAACTTCTATAGTTACATCTCATAATAGATTGAAACATTATTTATTGCTATTTTGTTTATTATACATAATATTATCAAACTATATACAACTGAAATATATTAGTCTTGATGTTTTTTTGAGCACTATTTATCATTTTGATCAGTATTTTGGATGATGTTGAATACTTTTTAATTTTTGGAGAGAAATTCCTGGTTATAATTTGTTTAATTTCTCTAGGAGAGCATATGTATGTTGGACAAGAAAACACCAAGCTTTTTCTTTTAAATAATAGTTAACCACTTTTATAAAAATAACATAAAAGATTATTTACTGAAAACATATCAGAAGTAGCTGAGCTATAAGTATAGCAGTATGAAAAAACAAGAAATCATTAATGTCAGTATTATTATTTACACAGGTAGGTAGGATTTTTGAACCAAAAAAAAAAGGACTCAATGTTGAAAGTTGAAACAAAGCTGTGATATATTCTGTGTTATATTATAATGGTTGTAGAGTGGATAACAAAAAAAATTATCATTGTTTTAAAGTAGTTTACATGGAAAATAGGTATTTAGCAATCTAAATAAGACTTTTCTTAGTATATCTTTTTTATCCATATTTTAAAGTTTGAGGCTAAGGGGACGAATTGACTCCCCATCTCAAGCCCTTCCTTTCATTGCCTACTCTCCCTTAGTAATGATATACTGTTTATGTTTTTTTGTTTTTGGCATATAATAAAAATTCAGTATAAATCCTTGACTAGCATAGCCTGGTGGTTAGGTTTGTGGTTTCTTGAATTAAGAAATATGGAATCAATACCCAGTGCCACCAAACATGTTCAGCCTTTCATCTATAAGGGTCAGTAGTGGATGGTGCATGCAACTGCATTCCTTCTGGTCAGCAGTTCAAGATTACAGAGAGTGGGAAGTACTTTTAGCAGCTTTTCATAATTCAGAAACAAATATAATGACCCAGATGTTGAAAAGGCAAGCATGTTTGGTAGCAACAGTAATCAAACCTAAAACTTCACTCATAAGGCAATCCCATTGATCAGAAAGCCATGCTAACTCAAAACTGAACAAATGTAAATTAATCTAAAATAGTAATGATAAATAATATAATTTTTTTTATTACTTGGATATTTGGAATGATCAAAAATAGTAATAATTTTAAACACTAATTGTGATTAGTCAATTATTTTTGACATTAATCATAATTTCAGTTAACCAGTTCTTTTATGTAACATCAATCAAAAGAATTGATGCTCATAGCTAATTATTTATATTAATTATTCAAGTTTATTTGTCAGCTGTAACTGTATTACAAAAGGAATCTTAGTACCTGCAAAGAGGTATTTTATATTCAACACATAATTCAGATAAAGAGCTGATAGCAGAAGTCATTGTATTTTCATAGAGTCATTAAATATGATTTAATCCTCAACTGTTTTTCTAAAGGAAGGATCTACTTGGTTGAACTTGCACAGTTGCTTTCTGTGGACTTCAGTCACATTGAAGCTAAAGCTAGTGAACTTGCCAAAGCAGAGCAAGGAATAAAACTTGTTCTTGGTCAATTAATTAACAGGTATGCAGTGTAATATTTAATTTCTATTATCAAATGTTTTGTTTGAAGGTATTTCTGCTAGAAAATATTACACATTTAATGAAGTAAACCATGAAAAAATAGTTAAAACACAATGGTATTACAAATTTAGATACAAGTTTCTCCCCATTGATAAAAGCAATCTGGGTGTAAATTGCACTTAAATATGTCAAGTAACAAGCTCCTTGCATCATTTGTAAGTTGTCTTTTGTTCACATATGTATGATTAACCTATCAACAATATAGCAAGAAGGGGCATTTCTACTCCATTTTAATACAGTTTTTATTATGCAATACAAAAAAGACAGAATAGTCAAATACTAAAAGAAATACTGAAGAATAACTATATACTATATATACAAAGTTACTATGTTTTTACAGCATTCTGAGAGAGAAAAATATAGCATATCTGAATGCATTACAGTTGGGAAAATAGTTGAAAGTTATGTGAAATAAATGGCTAATGTTAACAAAGCACAGTTTAAACTTAATAGTACTGTGAAGCATGTTAATCTTCTGGAAAAAGTCTTGAAAATCATTTCTGTTTGTTCAAACAGAAATAATTATCTGCATATTGAAACCAGGGGAATTCTTATGTATTCAGAGCCCACTTTCAAAATACTTCATAAAGATAACTAAATCACATGTCACTTATGCACAGGTTAAAGGTTAAAAATGCACAGACAATGTAAACCTATTGCACAATAAAATTTGCCCAAGAAAATTATCCAGTTTTTGTCATTCATTTTTAAAGCAATGAAAGTCTGTACTTATGATTAATTTATTAGATAAGAGTTAATTTTCTTAAAACATGTAGCAAGGGACAGGGGCTATGATCCTGAGGTTATTGATATGTTGTATAATAAGCATAGCTATAAATTAATAATGTCACTGTGTATGAGGTTTCAAGAAAATTGTAAAGTTGATGGCATGATGGCTTGTTTGCCATATGTTCAAGATATGCCAACAAGAACAGGTAACGTTATATAGATTGTACTGTAAGTTTTTCTCTGCAATATAAGTTAAATAATTGTCTCATGGGTGTGAAATTTAAACAAATTTAAAAATGTGGTGTTTATAAAATTCTTTGTATCTGTAATTTAGTTTATATGGACAAACATGTAGAATCCTGAGATTTAGAATTAAGGAACATAATATTTAGATTTAAAGTAAATGAATTGGCTTTAGCATAACATGTGGCAAGCACTTGTCGTGTAATTGTCTGAAAAACAATGTTAAATTGATTAGTGAGATTGAATTGAAATGGGAGCTAGATATTAGAGAATGGTAGAAATTGAAAAATTGATTTAAAGATTTTGGTTCAAGCACTGGAAATTGGTTTTTAAACTTTTCTGAGATGATTCATATAGTTATTACATTCAAGGCTGAGATGGCACTAGAGAACTTGATGATATGTTTATGCAAGTTTATTCTTAAGTATGTATATATAACCCAGTGTCTTGTTACTCTTACAATTTAAAGACAACAAGAGACCTATTAGTCCATCTGGACCATTCCGTCCACTATACTAAACTCTAAAATAAAAGTAAAACACTAAAAGCCATTCCTTACCATTAAAATATTTATCAAGCCTTCCTTTAAACTGCCTTAAATTAACTGCATCTACCACATCTGAAGGCAACTCATTCCAAAGGTTGACCACCCTGTTAAAAAAAATAGTTGTCTTAGCTGAAGATGGCTTCTACCCTGTCAGTCTTTGTATTTGTGTCTCCTAGCTTTACACTTCTCACCATTAAATATACAAAAATATGATGCATCAATGCTATCAATTCCCTTTTACAATCTTAAACACCCCAACCAGATCAACTCTTAACTCATCTTTTTTCAAGATAAAGCATTTTCAGAGATATTAACCAATCCTTTTATGACATTTTTGTACCAGGTACTATCCTGGTAGCCTTTCTCTGAACCCTTTTCAATGATATAATGTTCTTTCTTGGGGAAGAAAACAAAGACTGAACACAGTACCCCACATGGAGTCCAACCAATGACCCATTAACCTCTTTAGACTCATATCCAGTATTTCTCTAGATACAACCTAAAATCCTGTTTACCCTTTCACTAGTAACAGTACGTTGCTTGGATGACTTAAGAGACTAATCAACCAGAACACCAAGATCTTTTTCTTCCATTACTCTTAGGGTTATTCCCATCAGAATTATATTTGTAATTCAAATTATGATATTTCACATGCATTACCTTGCATTTATTGTAATTAAAAGCCATCTGCCATTTATTTGCCCAACTAACCAAATAATCCAAATCTAAGAGTTAATTTACTTAAAACATGTAGCAAGGGACTGTGAGAACTTAACACCTAAACTATTCTTAACCATTGTATTCCTGAGAATAAATAACACAAGCCTGCGATGGTTTTATCGTCTGGAAATTTTTACATGTTCTAAAGTAATTCCTGTACGCTGAATCCAAAATAATATCCATTTTTCTTCATGACATACAGATTTTTTTCACAAAACATCATATGTACTTTTACATAAGTGAATCATTTCCAGTGAAATCAGGTCACATTTTGTTATGCTTAAAATGTTGACAACCACTGGCTATAGATTTCTCTAGACCAATTGTGGTGTGAGGGTCTTATCAACTATTCTAGAACCCATGAGAAACACACTGCTAGTATATGAACAGTTAAG